TAATTTTCAGTAAAAGCAGACATTATTTTTAATGTAAATAATATTAYGAAGTTAAACATTTCTCCTTGTTATACATCGTACAGTATGCAAAATGTGTATGTGTATTTTAATGCGATCATTTGTTCATACACTATATATTTTATTTTTAAATAGTTTATAAAAACATAAAATTTAATCTAAATAAGTTTTCCTGTAAATCAAATATATTTTTTTTTWAATAAATTTAGGGTGGATAAATATCTTATCCATTTAAAAATATTTTAACTGTTATTTTTATGTCTACAGATGACAATTATATTTTTTGAATATATTAAGTATTATTATAATATATTTATAATATACAAGACGTATGAATAAATTAGAATATTTCATTACGTACTGAAAACTATATAATGTAATATATGCGCTTAAGCAGACGGTTAGAAATATTCATAAAACGAAGACAATTAAATATTGAAGAACCTTTTCACTTTCTAAATCTCACGGTTCTGCAGATACTAGTATACAGAGTCTGAGACTACGTTATTAGACAGACGAAATGTACATGGTAAAATTACAATGATTATTGTTATTGGAGCAAACTTTTAGTAATTATGGATTTTAATAACAAAATTAAAGTTTTAAAAAAACATATTTAAATACATTTCCTAAAAACATCCCATTTATATTTAATGGAATTGAAAATTTAACTGTAATTTTTATTCCTAACATATTTAATTTTGAAAAACGCATGCATTGTAAGTAAATATAATTTATAGAGGTATACATTTTTCCCTTCAATAATTATTATATTCAAATTTTGATTTTTGAAATCATTAGGTTGGTACATAAGACTTAAAAGTGTTCTGTCGCAACACAAATTTCTGTTTTTCAAATGAGAATCCTCTTTTTATAGCAAATTATGAAGTGCATAATTTTTTTTGAATATTTTTATGCGATCAATAATTCAAAATTAAAGGGAGTAATATTTTGAGTTGGTAAAATATTCATACTAAGGACAATAGTCTTTAAAAATGGCATTACAAAAATATAAAAATTGATGTAATATCGTATTCAGTATTTATTATTCTTGAACCATTTCGACAAATTAAAAATATTGATAAATCAATATTAATTACAACAATAATTATTATCAAATCACCATAGTTTACAAATCTTCCTTAGTATGTCATCATGGGTTTATTGTTCTTAATATATAAAATTAAATAACACAAATAACACTCGTTCGAATTTTTTGAAATGTCAACCATTCTACAAAAATTATCCGCTAAATAATTTATAGCATAAAAGGGAATGTTTTTATTTGAAAAATAGAAGTTTGTATCTCCACAGGATACACCATAAATACCAAATAGGTACAAGAGATGTCAAGAAGTATAAAATATAGTCTTTCAACAGGTATATTTAAAAACACCAATAATCATACTTTAAAATATAACTATATTATCGAAGAAGCAAAATGGAGCGATCATGTTTGGTGAATATGCACCTTGCAGTATTGTAGGTACCTAAACTACTCTTGGCAAGTACGATATTTATTTTTTCAATCAAAAGAAGTAACTAGGAAAGTAATATAATTTATGTAGAATCTTAAACTGTATTTTTATGGCACCAACAAACATATTTAACAAAAATCAAGATTGAAATGTTCAAGCCCCGGGATAAGGAAACAAAAAGATTTGTATTAGCATTATTTGACAGATCAAAGTTTTAGGTTTAAAAATGCTGTTTCTGATTGATTGTGGTCTAAATAAATAAATAAATAAATAAATAAATCATCTCTATGAATAAAATTTGCCGTAACCATAGTTATTATGAATTATAAGTGACATTGTAAATCATCACTATGACAGCATAATATGATTAATATATTTTTAAACTTTTTAAATGAAACGATAGATTTGAGGTTTTTTTTATGTTATGACTGGCAGTTTTTACAAGTATCAATCCCTAAACAGACTATATCGTATACGTGTAATACTAAAATACGTTTTACTATTATACTGCTCATTGCATGATGGTAATGCCGTAATTTAAATGAATACCAGATTTCCATGTTCATCAATTAGTTTTAATTTTTAATAAAAGACAAAATAACTATAATTATTTTTTATAATTCTTTTACTGTGGATTTAATGTTTTGGTATTCATTTTACACGCATAATAATCATATAATATATACGTGTCATAACTCGGTGTTGAACATAATGCTGTTTTAATTACACAATTTACTTCATTTTTATATTATAAATTATCATTTATATTGTAATATTTTCGTACTGTATTTAACCTTTATGGTGTTAATTTTGACACTAAAAAAAACCTTAATATTTCATCATAACTTTGCGCACCTATTCATTATTTTTCATAAAAGCCTTTTYGGACTCGGTGAAATTATATCCCCTGTAATATACTAATATATTATAACCAAATAGACGTGTCCTAACCTTAATATCATAACATTTCTGATTATAAGTACCAACTCCAAACAATATTAGTCACGTTTTACTATATGTATATRCGTCGCACTATACATATAAACACTAAATTGTGTAAGGAAGTGAATACGTATGCATTAGGGTTTAATAATATATACCTACCTACGATCTAAGATGATAATATAACAACTAGGGTTATAATCAAGTCTAGAGAATATAACATAACTCCAGTACAATGTATGTCATTATAATATCCCGGTGTGGGCACTAACAAACATAATAATAATTTAAATGTGGGTGCCGCTATGTGAGTCGTTTGAAGCGGTGTCAAGAGAGTAGAAACGCTCGAACCCGATGGTTTCGTTTTTGAGACACGTTGCGTACACAATTAAAATCRCGAGAACGCGATAATTATCGTTTTAACAGAGAACTTATTTATACCTATATTATATCTGTAAACCAAGAACAACAATTATTACTATTATGATATGGGTGTCTCATAAAATGGATTTATCATCAACACTTTACGACAAACGGAGTTAACGAATAGTCRCCGTGCAATCGTTTATATAATTCGCGCATGTGGCCTGTGCACCTATATAATATACGTATAACACCAACATACTTCATTAGCAAAAATAATAATTGTTGTCGTACGCATATATGAGAGTGGTAGGTATAATGGAAACATTGTCGTCAAACCATTTCCACTACTATCGCCATCGCGATCAATAATAATATTATGAGCTATACTTGGGTATAGTTTATTC